TTTTCAAGTAGAGTCATTGCCAGAGGCAAAAATAGGCACTTTGCTACTGGAAAAATGTTAAAAAAACATCCGTTTATCGTCGAATTCGCATTTTAAAAAACCAAACGTAATGATCACAACATCTAGCCGTTTTAAACGTCTCTCCGCAACTATTTTAACGTTTCGTCACCTTTTAATTTTGTTAGGCGTCACCGAATAATTCGATTTCTTTTTTCAGATTTTTTACATTAAGCACAATCATCATTCCATTGACTGCCTTTCTTCAGTAATTCATCAGCATTTTGTGCTATTACTGTCGATATCTGCCTTAAAAGCTAATGGGAATTCGAATGGATTGCATATGCTGTACAAAGCAAAAAGCAAAACTTTGAGCCACTGATGTCTTTTCTTCCAGTAGAGAGCTAAAATTACAAACAGAAACTGTTCTCAAACTGCGTACACATGTTTTTCGCCGTTTCGTATAATCATTTTTTTTCCCGAAACCATGTTTATTTTTTTATTTGTTCAAATACACGCCCAGTTCACACTGATTGAATTCAAAACCATGAGTGAACATCCTATGAAAACGGTCAGTGGCACGATTTTGTAGGAGCTGAAAAAGAGTTTCTGATTTGCATCAAAAATTGGAACGCCAAATCTCAATTGTCGAACGTTCTCGAAAGCGCTAATTGGAAGTATTATACCCCTAGTGCATAAAATGAAGATGGAGCATGGGCGCGAATAGCTCTAAGTTGCAACCGCTTATTTTATGCAATCTTGGAGTTAAAAAGTCTGACCAGGTTTCGATAACTAACGTGCGCTTAGTCAAAATATTGATCAACCACCGACGCTTAAGGCCATTTCCGACAATCTGTAAACGGTATAGCTCGTTCTTTCTCGTCCTTGTGGTGGAGGATAATAATGTTACATAGCGTTGATTTAGAAGTATAGAACGAAAAATAAAACAAAAACAAATGCTAATTTTACAAAATCATTATAGTACACGGAATTGCATAATACACGATCGTTTGAGCTGCAACGACATTTCTCTAATAAAAGGAGTTAAAAAATGGAAAAAACTGAACATAAGAACAAGACCTGTGGAAAATCAGTCTGCTATGAAAATTAAGTTTGAATTGATAAGAACCAAAAAGTTTTACTAAAAGAATGAAAAAACCCAAATTTTGTCTTAGTGGAAGAAAAAAAATTGACATTTCTTTGTAACATATTTGTCTGAGTTATGCCCTTTTGGACAATTATCTTATGGAGAACATTTGAAACTTACCCGCCTCTGTTGATTGTTTGATTTGAGTAAAAATTGACTGAGTACAGAGACAGTATAAAAATTCTTTACACTGTTTCCACACCATCGAAACTGTTTATTTTATAGCTGTGTTTGTGTGTAATTAGGGCTAAACGCGTATAAAAAATCTGTTCACAATTGATAGTTTGTTCACCAAGTTCAATTGCAAAACAACAAAATTAAAAAAATTCTCAGAACTGAAGCTCATTAAAGGAGGAAAGACATTTTAATTTATGAGATCAAACAAAACGTTTAAATTGTCAAAAAAAAAACAAATCAAAGTGCGTACGAAACTAATTTTCTACTTGAGCAAAAGTTTTCGACAGATCGATTAATTCAATAATAAAGTAGAGAAACTTGGCATTGTGAACAAACTAATTATGTGAATAGATTGGATATTCTTGCTCTACAGCGTAAGCTTAAATTTTTTGCTATACTTACAACAAAAATAAAATAAAAAAAACGGATAGTATGTTGCTGTGAAAGCAGCACAGTAGCGCAGAATGTTGCGACTAAAGTAAAAAAAGGATAAGTTTTTAAAAACTTTTCTTCAAGTTGGTATTGTTTTTTGTGTGGGGTATGATTCTAGAACGATGAACTCAAAGATATGCTCGTCTTTAAACAGAAAAAAAAGATCATAATTTTAAGTTTTTTTTCTAAACTTCTGATCATTTAAAATTTTTTGAAAATTGTTTGTTAAAGAAACGCTAGCTAAAAGAAAAATTCCACCCAACTAGTTTTTCAAGGTAAAGTCAATTTATTTTTACTCTTAAAAAACTAAAAGTTACGTAAATTTTGAATAACAAGCGATACACGCTCGCGTAACTTGCTCGAATATTGACGAAATCACAAAAAAATTCATGCCTTTTTTTCAAGACAGGGTATTTTTTGAGTTTGTTCAGTGTAGTGCAAATTACGACTGAAATTAATTTAGGATAATACTTGACTCGGTCCGATGCTTATTTTTTGTAACTAATTTTGCGAGGAAAATAAAGAAAAAGAAAAAAATTTGCGAGGAAAACAGAGAAAAAGAAAAAAACTACAAAGTTACTCCCCATTATCAATGGTCAGAAAGATAAGAGTTTGGAAGTCCAAATTAATACAACTAGTTTTTGAAGCAAAATTTTGAGTCTTGGGCATTAATGTCTTTCGAGTTTTACAAACACAACTCGTCAATTTTGCTGATGAAAAAACAATCAAGCACAAACAACTTTCGTCCTTTTCTTCAGTTTATAAGGTTCGAAAGCCTTTTCATTGCAGATAATAATTTGTTTGCCACTTTCCAGTAATCTAACTCAGTTTGTCAGTTCTTTAAGCAAATTTTTTTTTACCTCGCACGAAGATCAATTTTATGGAGTAACGAGTGGTTTACAAGATTACGTATGAAGTCTAAATATCTCTGACCTAGCCTAATTAGTCCGCATTCCAATCTTCATAGCAATCGATCTATGCAAACTAGTATTATAGTTGAATGAACTTACAAGTGAGGGAAAGTAAAAGACAAATTTTCTTCAAATTGCCATTGCACAAATTTTATTACTCTTTTGTTGACATGTGCTTTTTTTTTAAACAAACGGATCACAAACATACCATTAAGCGAACACAGCAAAAAAGCCTATCATACACTCTTCATGCATTTCTGTAAGTTCACAAAAATGCGTGAAAGTTCTATGATAAGTGATTTTTTTTCTAGAAAAATTATATCACTAGCGTTTTTCCATAAACCAAAATCTTTGACTTTTGATTTCAATTTAATTTTTTCTCAAAGCTTTTTTGTTATGTTGTTAGCTGAACATAAGTGACAACGACTTTGAGTTATTTAAAGCTAGAGTCATCAAAATTTCGACAATCTTGTTTATACAAGGCATTGCAAACAACCTGAGTTGTCATAGAATTTTTTTATGGATATGATGTAAAGAAAGTATCAAACTTTAATAAAAACAAAACTTTAATGAAAATTGATTTTTTGATTATCGAACTATCAAAATTTCGACAATCAATTTTTTATAGTATCAAGTTTTTTTGTAAAGTTTTGATTTTATGAATAATCAGTCATTGATGAAATCATACTTAAACATGTCATAAAACAATAGGCGTTTTCAGAGAAAAAGATTTTAAATAATTCAGAGAAAGAGAATGATTTTTAATCACTTTCTCTACCAATCATTGGGAGTGCTTCGACTGTGCTTGATTTAATTTTCTACCGGAATCTGCTTCTCGAATTTGGAGTTTCAGTTGGCACCTCTGTACTTTCCAAATAATCGATTTACAGGTTGTGCACCAAGACTCAAGTTGTCGTTAAAGGTGACGTAATTTTACCGAAAGTTCCTTTTAGCACTGATGTACATAAGGTTGCAATAAAGAACTAGTTCAAATCTTTTGAGTTTAAACTTGATCATCAATCATGTTTTTTTTTCATTTCGACATCTTTTTTAAAGTAAAACTTACCTACGGTTCCAATCAAGAATTACCAATGATTAGAATAAAGTGGCTCTTTAAAGTTTTTCTTTCTGCTCTCAAAAAAGACATTGAAATGTTTTTTTTTCGTCAGACACGATTGCGCCATTTATGATTTTTTGAGTTCTAAAAATATTCAAAGTTGGATTAATAAGGGAAGTTCAAAGAAGTTGAAAAGTTAAGAAAAACGTTTTAAGCGTATGACCATGTGACGGATAAAAACTGTGAGTTGTTTAATGTCCTTTTATTTATCTTTGGTATCGCAAAATCAATTATAATTGAGTTTCATAGTCAGTGTCCACAAAAGTTATAAAAAAAATAGATTATAATCAATTAAAAACAACTATAATTGTACTTTTTTTCGAGGCAAAAAATCCATTTTATTTAATTTAATGGATTTTTTTTCCTTTTTATGGATACTGACAATAGAATTCTTTTATAATCAATTTTTTTCATATCATTGAGATGCAAAAATCAACCCACATAAAATGTTTTCTGGAGTTTAAACTAAAATTGGTTAGTTGTTGTTCGATTTAGTTTTTTTCTGCCCCCCATTCTCCACGCTTCCCCACACAGGTGTAGAGCTCAACAGGTGCAAAGGAGATGTGGTTCAGATGAGGTGCGGAGGGTGATTGGGACGGTGTTTCAGGTTGGAGGGGGCGGAGCCAAGGGGCAATCGCTAGGGGGGGGGGGGGGGAGCTTAACAGAATCTTTTTGCAAATTGAGTTTAGGTTTAGAAATTGAGTAGGCCGTACAGTCGCTTTGCAAAGTTTCCTCATTTCCCAATTGATAAATACATAAACTCTTGCAAAACTTTGAACGACGCGAAACAAAAATAAAGCGTAAAGTGGAGAAAAATCCATTTTAATGTGATTTTATCCTTATTTTTTAATTACAATGGATTTCAAATGAATTATAATGTTTGCGACAAAAAATTGAATTAAATCCTTTTTTCCACTTTTGTTGTCTGAGCGTAACATGGGAATCGATTATATTGACAACAATTTAGACCACGAAAGTCTATTTATTTTTACTTTTAGATGACAGATGCTTAATATACTGAACTTAATGCATATGTGATCTGAAAGGGCCAAAACTGTTGATCAGTGCCAAGAAACAAACCTATTGAAGAAGCGTCTTTTACATGTTGAGATATCAGTATAACAGTATATTGTTTTCATCTGTAAAGCTGGTTAAGTCAACTCATTCAATTATCTGAGCAAAACATGTTATAATGATTTTTAGTTCAATTTCAGTTATTCTTCAAACTTCTTAATTTTTGAATATTATTTGGATAGTAAGAAAAGCCGTAAAATAGAGCAGCAAACATTAAATTAAACGACGGCTTAGTTTTTGCTGACTGTTCCCATTATAGATTGATATGTTGGCGTTAGTTTTTTCACACTCTCCGCTATTTCTGGTTTCACTTTTGACAACGTCTCAATGTCGACGTCACGTTCCACTGAATCTTCAAATTGGGTCGATTTGTTGGCTCGCTCAAAGAAGCCGAGAGAGTTTTGCGACTCTCGAGCCAATGAGAACGAATCCCATGTCGGATCTAGCAAGTCCAGGGACTCCCAAGTCAGATATTTTTTATCGAAGTCGATTCCAATTAAGCTGAAAATTTTCTTGACAGCTTCGATGGTCTTCTCCTTAGAGCACAGTATTTCACCTAAAAAGCATTCGAAACCCAGTGTTTCGATCTTGCAAACCTTGCCAAAATTATGCAAAATCTTGCCAAGTTAACATGCAAAATCGAGCAAATATCTGACATGTATATCTTGCAAAGATCTTGGAAAGTAACATGAATATCTCGCCAAGATCTTGACATAATAGCCATGTTTCATGGATAATCCAAGATTAGCCATGATCTTGGCAAGGTTTTCCAAGATCTAAACACTGGGTAACCCGTTCGATAGCAATATAACAGTTCGGGAGTGACTTTGAGGACTGATAAATTAAAGCATGTATTAAACGTGATTTAACTACATTGAATAGTATTCATTTTATTTTCTCTCAATGTGTACTTGATACAAAGATAGTTTCATTAAATAAGAAACTCTGCCAGACAGAATTTTATCCAAAGGTTTAGTTTTTACGCTTCTTTGCCAAAAATTGTTCCGACTTTCGATACGAAAGTAACGGAATATTTGTGATCGAGTGGGTTTTTTTTTAAAAAAGTTAAAATTAAGACAAATTTCGACTTTTTAACAAGCCATTTTTGACGGAATTTTGTAATATCATTCAAGAGGTAAAGTTGTCCTGAGCTAACTTTGAAAAGAAATTTCAACTGTAAGCATTTTTCGTAAAGTTATGAGGGGTTTAAAGATTGGCATTTTGACCAATTTGGGACAATTAACGCGCAATATTTTTCGCGCTATTAACGCTAAAGCGTAGATTTAATCCGTCTTAGAAATCGTTCCAATTTGGTTGAGGATGTTTATTTGCCACAATTGATTTGTTACTAGAAGCGAATTTTATCATTTTGTACTTCATATGGCGTGTGGAGGGATGATTTTCATTAAAAAAATTTCTTTTTTTAGAAAAAAAAATTTCTTTTGTTTTATTTCATTGAAATTTTAAATGTTTTTACTGCTCCATAAACCTTAAAAGGCAGTCGGAACATTCAGGGCTTCGCCCTGATACGAGCAGTTTTGTTTCTTATATGAAATGGTATTTAGTTTTAAGCCAAAAAAATCTCTAATTATTTGAAAAGTAAAATAAGGTTAGGCGTGACATCTCGACTCGAAATATAAAGACCTTTGGTAGTTTTTGTTCCGACTTTTGATACGAAAATAATGGAATATTTGTGCTCGGGGTGGGTTTTTTTCTTCAGACAAATGTCGACTTTTTAACTAGCCATTTTTGACTGAATTTTTTAATATGATTCAAAAAGTATTGTTGTCCTGAGCTCCATTCCATTTCATTACATTTAATTTTGTTAAGTTGCTAGTGTTCCATAAACCTTAAAAGGCAGTCGGAACCTTCAGGGCTCGGCCTTGATACGAGTAGTCTTGTTTACTTTGAAAATTTATGTTTTTTGATAATCAAGGATGAATTTAATGATTCTTGCAGTTATAAAGCATATTTAAGTCGAAAGTAACGGAATCAGGGAACCACAATTTTCCCATCCTTGTTTATTGTTCCGACTTTTGTAACGAAAGTACCGGAATATTTGTGGTCGGGGTGGGTTTTTTTTCAGACAAATTTCGACTTTTTAACTAGCCATTTTTGCCGAATTTTTTTATATCATTCAAGAGTTAACGTTATCTTGAGCTTAAACTTGCAAAGATATTTCAACTGTAATCTTTTTTCGTAAAAATATGAGGGGTTCAGTGATTGGCATTTTGGCCAATTTAGGAAAATTAACGCGCGATAGTTTTCGAGCTAGTAACGCGTAAGCGTAGTTTTAATCCGTCTTAAGAATTGTTCCAAATTGGTTGAGGGAAGATTATTTGCCAAAACTGATTTGTTACTAGAAGCAACTTTTGTCATTTTGTACTTTATATGGCGTGTGGGGGGATAATTTTTGTAAAAAAAAATCAAATTTTAGAAGAAAAAAGTCTCATTTCATTTTATTAAGTTTAATTTTGTTATGCTACTAGTGTTCCATAAACCTTAAAAGGCAGTGGGAACCTTCAGGGCTTGGCCCTGATACGAGCAGTCTTATTTACTTCGTAAATTTATATTTTATGATAATCAAGGATAAATTTAATGAATTTTGCAGTTATAAAGCTTATTTAAGCCGAGAGTAACGGAATCAGTGAACATCAATTTTCCCATCCTTGTTTATTGTTCCGACTTTCGTAACAAAAGTAACGGATTATTTGTGGTCGGGGTGGGTTTTTTTTCTTCAGACAAATTTCGACTTTTTAAGTAGCCGTTTTTGACGGAAGTTTTTTTATATCATTCAAGAGGTAACGTTGTCCTGAGCTTGAATTTGAAAAGATATTTCAAAAGTAATTGTTTTTCGTAAAGTTATGAGGGGTTTAGTGTTTGGCATTTTGGCAAATTTAGAGAAGTTAACGCGCGATAGTTTTCGAGCTTGTAACGCGTAAGCGTAGATTTAATCCGTCTAAAAAATCGTTCCAAATTGGTTGAGGGAAGATTATTTGCCAAAACTGATTTGTTACTAGAAGCAACTTTTGTCATTTTGTACTTTATATGGCGTGTGGGGGGATGATTTTTGTAAAAAAAATCAAATTTTAGAAGAAAAAAGCCTCATTTAATTTTATTAAGTTTAATTTTGTTATGCTACTAGTGTTCCATAAACCTTAAAAGGCAGTCGGAGCCTTCAGGGCTTGGCCCTGATACGAGCAGTCTTGTTTACTTCGTAAATTTATATTTTATGATAATCAAGGATAAATTTAATGAATCTTGCAGTTTAAAGCTTATTTAAGTCGATAGTAACGGAATCAGTGAACCACAATTTTCCCATGCTTGTTTTTTGTTCCGACTTTCCTAACGAAAGTAACGGAATTTTGTGGTCGGGGTGGGTTTTTTTTTCTTCAGACAAATTTTGACTTTTTAAGTAGTCGTTTTTGACGGAAGTTTTTTTTATCATTCAAGAGGTAACGTTGTCCTGAGCTTAAATTTGAAAAGATATTTTAAAAATAATTATTTTTTGTAAAGTTATGAGGGGTTTAGTGATTGGCATTTTTGCCAATTTGGGATAATAAACGCGTGATATTTTTCGCGCTTTTAACGCGTAAGCGTACAATTAACCCGTCTGAAAACCTTTCCAAAGTGGTTCAAGGAAGCTTATTTGCCAAAATTGTTTTTTTTTTTCACTAGGAGCGACTTTTATAATTTTGTAGTTTTTATGGCGGGTGGTGTGATGATTTTCGTAAAAAATTCAAATTTTAGAAGAAAAAAAATCTCATTTCTTTTTATTAAATTTGTTTTTGTGATGTTAATGTGTTCCTTAAACCTTAAAAGGCAGTCGGAACCTTCAGGGCTCGGCCTTGATACGAGTAGTCTTGTTTACTTTGAAAATTTATGTTTTTTGATAATCAAGGATGAATTTAATGATTCTTGCAGTTATAAAGCATATTTAAGTCGAAAGTAACGGAATCAGGGAACCACAATTTTCCCATCCTTGTTTATTGTTCCGACTTTTGTAACGAAACTAACGGAATATTTGTGCTCGGGTTGGATTTTTTTCTTCAGACAAATTTCGATTTTTTAACTAGCCATTTTTGACGGAAATTTTTATATCATTCAAGAGGTAAGGTTGTCCTGAGTTTAAAATTGAAAAAATATTTCAAATGAGCACATTTTTTGTAAAATATGAGGGGTTTAGTGTTTGGCATTTTGGCAAATTTAGGGAAATTAACGCGCGATAATTTTCGAGCTTTTAACGCGTAAGCGTAGATTTAATCCGTCTAAGAAATCGTTCCAAATTGGTTGAGGGAAGATTATTTGCCAAAACTGATTTGTTACTAGAAGAAACTTTTGTCATTTTGTACTTTATATGGCGTGTGGGGGATGATTTTTGTAAAAAAAAATCAAATTTTAGAAGAAAAAAGTCTCATTTCATTTTATTAAGTTTAATTTTGTTATGCTACTAGTGTTCCATAAACCTTAAAAGGCAGTGGGAACCTTCAGGGCTTGGCCCTGATACGAGCAGTCTTATTTACTTCGTAAATTTATATTTTATGATAATCAAGGATAAATTTAATGAATTTTGCAGTTATAAAGCTTATTTAAGCCGAGAGTAACGGAATCAGTGAACATCAATTTTCCCATCCTTGTTTATTGTTCCGACTTTCGTAACAAAAGTAACGGATTATTTGTGGTCGGGGTGGGTTTTTTTTCTTCAGACAAATTTAGACTTTTTAAGTAGTCGTTTTTGACGGAAGTTTTTTATATCATTCAAGAGGTAACGTTGTCCTGAGCTTAAATTTTTTGAAAAGATATTTCAAAAGTAATCATTTTTCGTAAAGTTATGAGGGGTTTAGTGATTGGCATTTTGGCCAATTTGGTATAATTAACGCGTGATATTTTTCGCGCTGTTAACGCGTAAGCGTACAATTAACCCGTCTGAGAAATCTTTCCAAAGTGGTTCAAGGAAGCTTATTTGCCAAAATTGTTTTTTTTTCACTAGGAGCGACTTTTATCATTTTGTAGTTTATATGGCGGGTGGTGTGATGATTTTCGTAAAAAATTCAAATTTTAGAAGAAAAAAAATCTCATTTCTTTTTATTAAATTTGTTTTTGTGATGTTAATGTGTTCCTTAAACCTTAAAAGGCAGTCGGAACCTTCAGGGCTCGGCCTTGATACGAGCAGTCTTGTTTACTTTGAAAATTTATGTTTTATGATAATCAAGGATGAATTTAATGATTCTTGCAGTTATAAAGCATATTTAAGTCGAAAGTAACGGAATCAGGGAACCACAATTTTCCCATCCTTGTTTATTGTTCCGACTTTTGTAACGAAAGTACCGGAATATTTGTGGTCGGGGTGGGTTTTTTTTCAGACAAATTTCGATTTTTTAACTAGCCATTTTTGACGGAATTTTTTTTATCATTCAAGAGGTAAGGTTGTCTTGAGTTTAAAACTGAAAAAATATTTCATATGAACTCATTTTTTGTAAAATATGAGGGGTTTAGTGATTAATATTTTGGCCAATTTGAGACTATTAACGAGCGATATTTTTCGCGCTAAAAACGCGTAAGCGTAGATTTAATCCGTCTTAGAAATCGTTCCAAATTGGTTGAAGGAAGCTTATTTACCATAATTGATTTGTTCCTAGAAGCAAATTTTATCTTTTTGTACTTTATATGGCGTGTGGGGGGATGATTTTTACAAAAAACCTGAAAGTTTTCTACAAAACTTTTTTCAATATATTTTCTTTTTTTTTGCATTTAATTTTTAGGCAGTCGGAACATTCAGGGCTTTGCCCTGATACAAGCAGTCTTGACTGGCTTTCAATTAAACAAGAATGCTAGTATCAAGGCGGAGCCCTGAATGTTCCGACTGCCTTTTAAGGTTTCTGGAGCTGTAATAACCTGAAAAATTAAATGTAATAAAATCAAATGATTTTTTTTAGTTTGAGTTTTTTAATGAAATTCATTACCCCGCAAGCCATATAAAGTAGAAAAGGATGAACTTCGCTTCTTGTAACAAATCAATTATGCAAATAAGCTTCTTTCAACCAATTTGGAACGATTTCTAACATGGATTAAACCTCCGCTTACGCGTTAATAGAGCGAAATATATCGCAATTTAATTGTCCCAAATTGGCCAAAATGGCAACCTTTAAACCCCCATAATTTTGCGAAAGTTAATCACAGGTGAAATATTTTTTCAAAATTAAGCTCAGGAAAACAATACTTACTGAATGATAAAAAAATTTCGTCAAAAATGGCTAGTTAAAAAGTCGAAATTTGTCTGAAGAAAAAAAACCCACCCCGGGCACAAATATTCCGTTACTTTCCTATCGAAAGTCGGAACAATTATTAACAGTGTTTGAAGTATAGGAAAAAGCGAGTCCTGTATTTAACTTAAATATGTCTTAAATTGTTAGATATCACCACCGTTAATTTAATGTAAATCAAAAGTTAAAAGAAATTGAATAAATCTGAGTCTGAAAATCAAAATAAAATTTATAGGATAATACAGCATTTCATATACTTTAAGTGTTTAGGAATTGCAGTTAGTTTTTGGCTACAAACAAGGTTTGAACCTTTTAAAAGAAAAATTCGGATGAAATTCCGTTGTTTTGGCGTTATATTTAAAAATTAACCGTGACATTTTCAAAAAATGAATGTCGTACAATACTACTACTATATGAGGTAACCCTCAAGAAATATTTTCAACCAGAATGGGGAACAAACAGTTGAACCAACCTCTCCTCCTGGCCCGAGAAAAAAAATAAAATCTAAAAAGATGTACCATAAAAGTTTTACCTGGCAGCACAACTGGTTCATGATCGCAGTTTTGCTTCACGTATTTGATCATTTCGAGCATGCTTTCGTAGGCTTCGTTCATCTTCACCGGGAAACCTGCCCTCTTGTTCACCTCGAAATACGGTATGGCGTGTCCAGTTATGACTGAAGTTTCGACCAGGGCTGGATGACGAAATGCGAAAATGTTGACTGATTCTTTAGTCATCAGTTTTGGGTAATCGTCTGTTTTGAGGGTTCCTGCGATGTCCTTTACAATTTTAATGGGACTAGAATTGTTAAGAACCGCTTTTAAGACGTCTTCATACGTTTCCAACGGTTGATCATCTGAAACCTTTCCTTCCTCAAAAATATGAGGGAAGTTGTTGACAAAGTCGCAGAATGTCAACTTCTCGAAGAAAACTTTACTCCCAGGTATGTTTGAGAGACAGCGTAGAAGAGCAGTCGATCTTGAGCGAGGAATAAACCATAAGTTTACAATCACCATTTTAAAACACTTGAAATTGAATGAATGAAGCTTCAAAAATGATGGCAGGGACTTGTTTGCGAATTTGAATAGATGTATTAATGTAAACAATGAGATCAACATTCCGACCATTTTTGACCTTCTGTCTTCTGTTTTTGTTTGGTTGGATTAAAAATAGCAAAAATGGATTGCTATCAAAACAATTATTTGCACTGAATTTGTTATTAATATAGGGTCGAGAAGGCATTCTAAAGGTTTCTAAAGAAATCTGCCGACGGTTGCCCCATAAAGCAGAACAGTCATGAAGTATAATCAATTTCGAATAAAATTTTATTTTGGTATTTTTAAAAGTATTTTATTTTTCATTAAACGAAATGGGATCATCCCTCGAAATAACAAGGCAACAGTCAGTAGCGGATTTTGGAGGGGGCGGTGTGAATATCACCCTCTCTCCCTTTAGCGATTCGACCCCTGCCGACCCAAAGTGTCCCCCTTTTTTGCTGTTTTGATCTGTCCGTTTTAGGATTACTAGCTTCTAATTTTTCTAATTGCCTATGGTGCCAACTTTGAAGTGGGAATTTATATGGTAATGATTTAAAAACGTTTCTGTGAATACAGAGAAGATGTTAAAAAACAAAATTGATCATTTTTGAACAAAATAACTTGCCCCAAATATATGTTTTAGGAATTCGAAAAAACTGTAAGTTTTTTTATCAAAACGAATGCTTCTATGAAACAAACTGTTATTCGTCATGACAACCTTTGTTTTCCCTGGTATCGAAATGGGTATCAAAATAAAAACATAAACTTGAAAAAAAACATAGCTACTTGAAATCAATGAGCTCTAGCTACAAATTTCAGGAACTGAAAACGGCTTTAAATAAAAACTACTTAAATGACTCGAAAAAATTTAGACACAATTAAATGATTCAGCATTGTTCGAAATGCCTAAACGTTACCTTAGTAATGAAAAAGGGAACAACAAAGAACAGCAACAAATGTAGAATGTCTTGGGAATTGTTTTACTGATATCGTAGACGACCACAGAAAGTGAACTTGCTCAATAGCAATTTAAGTAAATTAGGCTAACTTCTTTTCCGAACTTATTTCTTATAACAAAATCGCAATCAGGTAATGTTTTGAAAAAGTTTTTCTTTTTACTTAGTTTCTCCTTATGGAGGTAAAAAAATTATTCTTGCTTTGAATAAAACAAAAACCCTGGGTTATTCTTCTGTTCCAGCTCGGGCACTCAAAAATGCCGCTTGTAAACTGTAACAACCAACTAATCTTTTAATCAAGGAATGCATAGAAACAAATTTTTTCCACCGCGGCCCAATTGACGAATACTTCCTCCTTACCTAAAAAATGATGCAGTGAAAATCCACTTGATTACACACCAATTTCAATTATTCCGGTCAAAAGTATTTGAAAAACAAACGGAGTTTGATATTGCAGAAAATCTTAATCGTAATAATATTCTTACGCCAACTCAATTCGGTTTCAGAAAAACGTATTCAAGCATAGATGCTCTAGAATATCTGACTGAAACAAACCAAGTTTAAATTGAAAACAATGAAATTATAACAGCTGCACTACTGGATTCATACATGCCTTTGATTCAATAGATCATCAATTTTTAATTAAAAGCTACAAATAATAGGCTTGGAGGGTTCCTCACTTGATCTTATAAACAGCGACTTATCTAACAAGTACCAAAAGGCGTGCTCTAAGGAACCAAAAACAGAGACTCAAAAAATGAGCTTGAGATTGATGCACAAGTAGTAGACCAACAACAAAGACTCAAAAAAATACGAGATTGCGATTGATGGACAGGCAATAGAAGAAATAAAATAAATTGAAGATCTACGCGTAGTTAGACGTAAATCTACATGAATATCAGGAACATTCCAAACAGCAATTCATAGAAGTGGAACTGGGTATTAAAGACTCATAGGTTTTATACCAAACAAAATGAAAACCAAAATTTTCAATGTCCTGGTCGTAAGTGGTCTACCTTATTTAGCAGCAATTTTTGCAACAATAGACCAAAATCCTATTATAACTCTTGAAAAACAATTAAGCTGGTCCGTAAAAGCCTTCTTTAATAAACGCAGTTTTAATTTTTCTGCTGAACTTAATGCGAATTGTGACATGTTATCAATTAGGCTCTTCTTGGCTATAGAATCTCAACAAACTGTAAGGAAAAAACGTCGCAGCAAAAACCCGATTTCAATCCGGAAAAGGATCTATTCTTACCAAACTCAAATTTTTTTATATTCTTCGACTTGAGATTGAAATACTTGGTAAAAGTGTTATAAAGAAACAACTATATACCATTCAATTACTTAAACGATATTAATTCTACGATATGTACAACAACTAAGATAAGAAACAACAAAATTCTTGTTGAATTTACGATGGACCCAGGCCAAGTGACTTATGGTAAAGTGTGTTGGAAAGAAATTGATTTTATTTGAAGAAAGACATCAAAATTGTACTCTGCCTGTATAATTGTAACACTCAAACGTTAATTCAATGTTTGTTTTTTAAAACACCTTTGAGTGCCTATGCCTTTTCAAAGTTGGCTTTTGAAAATTATTCGAAAAAATCGAATCAGAACACTTTTTGAACTAAGAAAAAGGGTTACACAGATTTCAGATAACAATTTACTTCATAAAAGAAAGTTATCACCGAACTCGATTGTCTTCATTTGTATTGATTACGATGCTCTACCCAAACTGCATGAAATCAAGTCAATTCTATCTTGTGAGAAAACTCGACCAACGAATTGTATAGCGGTGCCGTTCTTTTGATGCTATCAACAATTTCTGGCTTTTCTTTAGCGAGTTTTTCTAAATCAACCTCCCGTTAGGTAAAATCTTCGAAGTGAATTGATTTTTTTTGCTCTGTTGAAAAACCCAACTAAACGCCAAATTATTTACATCCCAATCTGGGTCCAACGTTTACAAAGATCGAACTCTTAAATACAGTTCAACAAATTTAACTCCAATCTCATTGCAGATTGTCGCAATTGCTCCGACAAGCTTTTTTTTTCAGAAAAGAAGTTATCACCTGAAACATGAAGAAACATAAAGTATAAGCCTCAATACACAAAAAAATGCTATAGTAATCACATCACCTAATTGGTTGAAATTTACCGATTATTTCCCAAAATTGTACAAAAGTCAGATAATTTTTTATGCAACCACATTTTGATCTACCAGGAGCTCAGAGTACTCCTTTTTTATAATCGGACTCTGTTGTCAAAAACTGTCATGCAAACGAGTATTAGTTGAAAAACCCCCGCGTACTTCTTAACGATAGCATCTTCAACTGACCAAATAACCTGATAGAAAATATACAACCTTGTTATTTTTTTTTTAACGAAAATATAATAAAAAGCTGGCTTACCAAGGATTAGAACCAGTTTATTGTCACAAAGGCTCATCAAATATATGATAATCTACAACATGTTTTCAGAAACTTTTTCGGTCGCAAACTGGAATCCCTGGTTTATGATCGAACTTAGTAAAAGTTTGAGTTCCCAGTAATAATTTAAGTTTCAATCAAAGCTCGATGACGACCCATGCAAAAAAAATTTAGAGAATTATTCGTTATTACTTTTGGATAGACGTCAGCCTTGAGAGAACTTGGGATATCCTTGACGATTAGATTTTTCCCGGATTTGATCAAAATGATATTAAAAGCGTCATCTTGTGATTCTAAACTTTCACTTACCATCTAGTGGCCAAATATGCGGGGGTAATTTCCTACAAAATGAGCAAAAAGAATTTTTTTTGTAATATAATCGATTTTTAACGTTTGAAACTGGATGCGGCTAAATACTTTTTTCCGAAAGATCAATCTCAGTTTTAAGATCAATCCTAGCTGTATTTTGTTCGTTTTACAAAATGACGAACACGATAACCGCACTGGAATTTCAACAATAATAATTGGTTAAAATCGAAGCAGTCCACACCTTGATGGTAAACACCTCGAGTTGAATTAAAAACACATTTGTTTAGGCTACCATCCAAGTTTAGGTGTAAGTAATCGATTACAATTAATTATAATTACCAAATTGAAAAATAAATCTTCCGAATCAATCATGTAACTAAATCAATCTTGCTGATGATTTTGGTGGTTAAAAAAGCCTAAAATATGCATCACAAAACAACTGTAATGCAGAAGAAATGAACAAAAAAACCTTATAAATTTGAATTGATTGGAAAACTTTAAAAATAATTGTCTCATTTTTCATAAGAACCAACGTCTACAAAAAGCATAAAATATAAGCAATTTAGATGCAACTTTGAAGACACAATGGAAAAACAAAAGGGATTATAATCAATTATAATCACTTATAATGGATTTTTGAGCACAACTAATGAATTAGAAATTTGAATAAAAATAGTGGATTATATTCAATTATAATTGATTATAATTGTATCGAAAAATAGACGAATGAATAAATGATTATAATCGATTATAATGGATTATAATTAGTTGTAGTTTGATTTTGAAAAAAAAAGAGATTTTAATCGATTATTAATTGATTAAAATCGATTGTTTCTCAATTTTAGTAAGACTGGTACTAAAATTGTAATATAATCGATTATTAACGCTTAAAACTGGATGCGGCTAAGTTTTTTTTCCGAAATTTCAATCTAAGTTTTGCTGTATACTGTTTGTTTTACAAAATGACGAACACGATAACCGCACTGGAATTTCAACAATAATAATTGGTTAAAATCGATTATTAGTGACGAAAATAGTGAACATTATAATCGATTGTAGATTGGGCGGATTTAGAGTGGGGGGAGAGGCGGACGCCTCCTTCCTCAGGGATTCGGCCCCCTGCAGACCCAAAATTCCCCCCTTTGTACTATTTTGAGATATCCCTTTGTGACCCTAACACTTTTTGTAAAGGCGCCTTTGGTTCCGATATATATTCTATTTTTGACGAGGGAGCGCGCCAAAAAAAACTCGTTTTTTTTTGGTCAAATTGATCCACAGAATGCCTAAAAACGCCTTCAAATTTTGCCTGCGACCCAGCAACTCTGCCGCAACAGGGTGTTCACTGTT